TTGTTATTTGAAATTTTTCCTGCGACAGGGACTTATCTTATAACAATTTGACTGGACCTGTACCAATATTCCCTTCGAAGACTCTCAAGTAAGATACCTCAAGAATGCATGAATCACTCGATTCTGCAAGCCGCAATATATGATTTTGAATGCTGAGTATATCTGTGTTATCATTTTTCTACCGTTATTCCAGTGTTGTGGGCAATCCTTCAATATGTACATCTGATTCGGAATGTGAAAGGACAATGCTGATACCAATGTCCATGGCATTAAACGCATCACGGGGTATGCACAAGATAATTCTCAAAACTTGCACTAACAAGTATATCGTTTACCGGCAGTCCTTATCATAAGTTTAAATGGTTTGAGAATTATCTTTCGTAATTGTGGAAAGTTGCCATGACTTCTTTTTGCTCATCTGAGTTTCATTCATCAATTAAGATTTCACGTTGTGTATTTCTGAAGATGGGGTGCCCGTGAGGATACAGAAGAGTCACAGATTTGCCCTTGCCTTGAGTTCAAGTTTGGGGTGTCTCTGCTTGCTTGTTGTTGGATTTGGGATGCTATTATGGTTGAGACAAAGGCAGAAACATCTCAGACAGCAGACGCTTTTTGATGGTAGTGGTTCGTATAGTTCATTGATTTTATTCACAATTATTTACAGAGCATCATCAGTATTTATTGCATTCCTCATGCTGATATATCTCTGAAATGTCAGATCGGACCAATGATGAAATTTCTCTTGGGAATTTGAGGAGATTTCAGTTCAAGGAACTTCAGATAGCAACCAACAACTTCAGCAGTAAAAACATTCTGGGCAAAGGTGGTTTTGGAAATGTTTACAAAGGAATCCTCCACGATGGAACTGCAGTAGCAGTCAAAAGGCTTAAAGATGGCAATGCTGTTGGAGGTGAGAGACAATTCCAAACAGAAGTTGAGATGATCAGCTTGGCAGTGCATCGTAACCTCCTAAGGTTGTATGGGTTTTGTATGACTTCCACAGAAAAACTTTTGGTGTACCCATATATGGCCAATGGAAGCGTTGCTTCTCGTCTCAAAGGTGTTACAACTATGCAGTGTAGTGTTGCCTTCCCTTCATTCAATTTTTTAAATTGTTAATTTCTTGAACCATCTAACCCCTTTTGTTTCAACAGCAAAACCAGTCTTGGACTGGGGAACAAGGAAGCGGATAGCCATAGGAGCAGCAAGGGGACTGCTATATCTACATGAGCAATGTGATCCAAAAATAATTCACAGGGATGTGAAGGCTGCAAATATTTTGCTGGATGATTATTGTGAGGCAGTTGTGGGAGATTTTGGGTTAGCAAAGCTTTTGGATCACCAGGATTCACATGTCACTACAGCTGTTCGAGGAACTGTGGGGCATATAGCCCCTGAGTATCTCTCAACAGGCCAGTCTTCTGAGAAGACAGATGTCTTTGGTTTTGGAATCCTTCTTCTTGAATTGATCACAGGGCAAAGAGCTCTAGAATTTAATAAAGCAGCGAACCAGAAAGGGGCAATGCTTGATTGGGTGAGCACCATTTTCCCCCCCTTCAAAACCAAACTTTGGTAAATTCTTGAGGTCGAGTATTATTTTGCTCCCACACATGATTAAAGTTCACAATATGTCTTCTTCCATTGGCATTGCATTGTTAGTATTATAGCTATAGATTCCTTTTCAACTCAAGTTATGTCAAACAATACGTAGGTGAAGAGAATTCATCAAGAGAAGAAGCTTGATATCCTTGTCGATAAAGATTTGAGAAACAACTATGATTGCATTGAAGTAGAGGAAATGGTTCAAGTGGCTCTCTTGTGTACGCAATATCTTCCAAGCCACAGGCCAAAAATGTCTGAAGTAATTCAGATGCTTGAAGGAGATGGACTTGCAGAGAGATGGGAAGTATCTCAGAGACTAGAATCAAGCAAGTACAGAACACAAGAACTATCCGCATCAGAACGATATTCGGATCTCACTGATGACTCTTCATTACTTGCTCAAGCTATGGAGCTGTCTGGTCCAAGGTGAATCGTGTAATATTCTTCTTAAATACAACACAGAAACCAAAAATTTGTAAAATGGAAGTTCACAGATACTCCAGTCTGCATGACCCCTACAAAGGCCAGTTGAATTTCACTGTTCTATACTAGTAAAACATCATAGTCCAAAGGGCTGCGATGCTGTTTGCTCGTTGTAGAGACCAGGAGGAATCCCACTATAAAGATAGGTAGTAGTGTTTCAAACAAACTGTATCTAATCTTAGTTGGAAATTCAGATTGCATACCTTTTCTCATTTTCTTTTTCAGGAACTGCTTAGCTTGTTGAAGTAAAAATGTAATGGCAGTAAAATAAAGTACAGAATCATCATTTGTTTGTTTGAGTTGAACCTCGGTAAAGTTTTAAAGGATTCTGCCAAAGTCTTAGCAGCTACAGTCGAGCATCTTCAGCTTGTGACGAACGAATATGGACATGAACATCTGACAAGTTACTTAAACAGGAAAATTACATTTGATCCAGAAAACGTTGTACTTGCAGCTTGACTTTGCCAATTACCCAAGGCAGAATGGTATGAATGCTTTAAAACATGGTTACATTAGATGATGGCATGATTCTTAGGCAAAATCCGAGCTAAAAAATTGATTTCGCAAACTGTAAATTCATTTAGGCACAGTAGGGAGGGGGGAGGGTAGCTTCACTGAGCTGGCAGCCCTATAGATCCTGAACTCTTACTAATGAAATTAGGAGTTGGCCAACCAGTCAACTCCACTTAGACCACTTCTTTTAATTTTAGTAAGCTGTACAAAAGTGAATGAATTTAAAAAAAGAAGAAAAAAGAAAACTCCACTTCTTTTTCAGTTGTAGAAGAATTTTAGTAAGGGATAATTTCACAAACCTCGCCTGAGGTTTCTAACACTTGCACTACCCGTTGAGGTTTTAAAAATTTCACTGACAAGAGAGTCAGATAATTTCACTGACCTTCCTGACAAAGATTTGGGGCCCTTTGCTTACATCATGATAGATGAAATTACCACTTTGTCCTATGAAATTGGGACTAATGACTAATGTAGATTTGGGGAACAAATGCATTTAAATTAGTTCATTACATTTAACTAGAATAATAGAAATCCAATGTCTAATTAAGCCGATTAAAAGGCCATTACAGAAAGGCACCAATTGAGGAAGATATTTGGCGTCATTTTTATGACTAGTATGATTTTGACAAGGATGATTGAACAAGTTTCTAATATTGTAGCCATATAACTAGAAGGGAAGAAATATAGAAAGAATAAACAAAGGAAAAAGAAGAAGAAAATGGAGACAAAGTGAAGATGTTATTCATGTGTTGGAAGTGAAGGTGATTAAAAGCAGAAATCAAGGTATGAATTTCCTTTTCATCTTAGCTAACTATAACAAAATGTTCTATTGAATCAATTTCAAGAAAACTAGTATGTTATCTAATAGATTTTTGTTTGATCAGTAGATTTTGAGTTGGTAGTAAAGTTGAATTCCTGTATTTCATGTACCCTGATGTTATGTGTAAATTTGTATGTGAGGAAGGTATAATAGAAAGGTATTAAAGGTTGAAATAAATGTTAGTGTGTTGTTATGAATTTTATGTTAAGTAAAAGTTGTATTTTGTTGTGGAGTTGGTAGCTATGATTTTCAATTTGTATTACAGTTTGTTGTGTTCGGTTTAAAAATTTAATGGATCAAACATGGACTTTTTTTTTTATCATCACTACCTATGTAAATCTTCTACTAATACAGGGACCAAGAGGGCATTCATGGAATAAAAATTCCATCTCGCTCATGAGAATAATATTTTAATCCTATATGGACTGAATTGTTACAAAATTCTCAAAGGCAAGGGTGGTCATTAAAAGTTTTAAAACCTTGAAGGGTGTTAGTGCAAGTGTCAGAAACCTCAGTGGAGGTTTGTGAAATTATCCTTTTTAGTAATGTATACTATAAGTGTCAAAAAAGTGCAAACTTTGTTCAATATGCATAAATAAGTCATTTGTACATCTGGACAAACATTTGATAACATCATTTGTCTGTTTTGCCAATGGTGATCACAAATCCAATGACTGAAGTGTGTTATTGGGCTCTGGCATTTGCAGAACGATTTTCTAGTTTGGAAATCAAATTAGTGAAAATTGAAAACTTAGCATTGCAGGGGCTCTAAGCACATGGTCCGTGAAATTAAAGGCCCAGAACGAAATTATGCCAAATAAAGGTCCTCAGGACAAGGAAATAGCAAGCATGAAGGGCCCAATTAGAGCAGGGAAAACCAACTGGAAATTTGAATTTGAAGAAGCCACTCATTAGTGGCAAATGATGGGAGACAATGGTCAATTTAACCTCTCACCTTACAAAGACACCTCATTAAGATCAAATGGGTGTACTTAGCAACAAATAAAGGGAGTCAAGGGTTAATTTGACCTCCCACGCTATAAAGACACTTTATTAAGATATGGGTGCACTAACAAATGTTGGGAGGCTAGGGTCAATTTAACCTCCCACATCACAAAGATACATTATTAAGACGAGATGGGTGCACTAACATTAGTGACAAATGATGAAAGGCAAGAGTCAATTTGATCTCCTACACTACAAAGACACTTTATCAAGACCAAATGAGTACATTATGCACTGATTATGGGTACACTAACATTAGTCGCAAATTATGAAAGGCAAGGGTCAATTTGACCTTCCACATTATCAAGATTCTTTATTAAAGACGAGATAGGTACACTTTATTAAGACGAGATAGGTACACTAACATTAGTAACAAAAATGATGGAAAGCATGATCGACTTGATCTCTCGTGTCACGAAGATAATTTACTGAGACCAAATAATTGCACTATGCACGTATTAGTGACAGGTGACAGGGGGTTAGGGTTAAACCTTTACTTTTCACATATTTGTATGGCCAACAGTCCAAAAGCCATTGGTTAGCATGTCTTTAGTAAAGTTCCGTTCCCCAAATAAAAGTTTCTCTTTTTTCGTTTTGTTGTGGAAATTTATTCGAGTACCCGGATTCCGGACCCGACTCCTGTTACTCAATCCAGTTCCTCTCCCTCCCTCCCACCCCGGTCTCCGTCGTGAGTGTGCAGAGAAACAATGGAGTGCGTGGTTCAGGGAATTATCGAGACCCAAGTAAGCTCTACTAGTTTCTTATCTCCCTTCTTATATTACGCCTAATACTATCTTAATTCAAATTAAACCTTCGACCTTTTTTTACCTGGGAGCTCATTTAGAGTTTTAGACTAATCAAGTAGTTGACTTTAATTGTGATTTTGGTCGGTTGCAGCGCAATCTATGTAGTAATTAAGTGGGGTTTAGGATGAATGACGAATTTTGATTTGGTTCACTGAAAATAATCAGACAAACGTACTTGTGGAATAATATGAGGATTTGAGGAAAGAGGGAAAGGATGGAGAATGCAATGCAATGCTTTTCCTCTTCAGTGTCTTTTAAGGGAAGGGGATCGCTATATCCAAAGCTTGTATCTTTGGGGGCCATTAATGGAAAGATTGACTTTAATTTACCAGAATAGTGTATTTTTCTTTGTTGGTAAGTCAAGGGTATAACTTTGGCAGCTGTGCTGCTCTTTTTTTAACGTGACTTTCAAATCACCCGAAGGGCTGAAAGATGGACTTCCAATTATCACTGCAAAAACGCAGCGCTAGTGATCTACGTATAAAACAGGCTGTTTTAACTAGCTTATGCAGCTTCTTCGATCGCAGCAATGTATTGTTCAATGACTCGAATTGTTCATTCTACGTATAAAACATATATATTTATGTGAAGATATTAAGATAAATTGTATACCTAGCTAATCTTCCCAATTTCTATTTATTTACACTACTATTTATGACTCAAAAATGCTTTAGATGTCATGTGCCTGCCATGTCAGGCTCAGGCGGGTGTCAATGGCTACTGGTAACCTCCTTCGCTTGTCATACCTTTGTGGAGATGAAAGTTCTCAACTTTGGGTGCATGTAACATGTTGCAGACAATCATTATCTTTTTTTTGGATTGCTATTTAGCTTTTTCCGATATTTTTGTAGAAAAATTACCTAATATACTGTTTGCTCACCCCTTACTGAAGTATGCACTTGCACTTTTTCCCGCCCAGCATGTTGAGGCCCTGGAGATTCTTCTTCAAGGACTTTGTGGTGTTCACAGGGAGCGCCTAAGGATCCACGAGTTGTGCCTAAAAAGTTGTCCAAATCTAGGTAAATGGATTTTCTTGTATGAGTTTCCTACGAAGATTAGTCAAGTGAAACTTACACATTGGCATCCTTGTTTGCGTATGCCTAGTTTCCTCACAGGAATCAATAACATTCTCAGTGCTGTTTCTTTTAACTGTCTGTCAATTGGCTATTTATATTATGGTCACAGACTCAATCGCATCGGGGATCACATTTTGCAAGGTGTTCTTTGTTTTGCAGCAGCTTTTGGATGGATGTACCTCATAGTTCCATATTTTGTTTAAATTTCTTTGTGCATGGTTATGCGTCTTCACTTCTGGAGGATCTTATGTTTTGATCAGTTTTCTGGTTGTCAAGGATTTGTAATGTCAGTTCTCTGAGAAAATTGGCATACTTCTGAAATGGCATGTCTTCCCTAAAAGCTAGTTTCGTCTTTTTTTCCCCTTCTTGCATGTAGATTTCTGCTTAATAAACAAGGTTTCATGCTTTTGCTTGCAGGTTTAGTTTCTTCAGAGGTTCGACTTTTGTGTGATCTGGAGCAGTCTGAACCAACTTGGTAAAAAGGATTTTGTTGAAAACAAGTTGTAATTCCTGAAATAGATTACCAATTTGTATTGAAAACTAAAATCTTAGGACGGTTCGGCAAGTTGGTGGTGCAATGAGAGGTGCTGGTGCTGAGCAAATTTCGGTGCTGGTCAGGAACACCGTAGAAAGCAAAATAAGCAAGGATGCACTACGCTTATTTTATGCACTTGGCTACAGGTTGGACCATGAACTGCTGAGAGTAGGATTTGCCTTCCATTTCCAGAGAGGAGCTCAGATAACTGTAACTGTGTCTTCAATCAATAAAATGCTGAAACTGCATTCAACTGATGAGGCTGTTCCTGTAACTCCAGGGATACAACTGGTTGAAGTGACAGCCCCTGCTTCATCTGAAAATTATTCTGAAGTTGTTGCTGCCGTATCATCTTTTTGCGAGTATCTTGCACCGTAAGTGCTTCTTCTTGCTCCCCCCCCCCCCCCCCCCAAAAAAAAAAACCAACAAACACAAACAAAAAAGGATATATTGAAATTCGCACTTTTTACCCGGCTAGATTACGTAGACAATATCAGCCAGCAGCCCTATAAGGAGGTAAAAAGTTGAAAAGATATAGCAAAAAGTTCTTGTAGATACTAGCAAGTGGCTGCAATACTAGGTGAAAAGGATCGATGCAGATACAAAGATGATGCAGATACAAAGATGAATGCATGCAGATTAAGTCTTATAATTCTGCTCGCATGAAATAGGAGGCAGTTTCTTAATTTGTTTCTCTCGTCTCTCTACCATCTTTAAGTGGAGAAACCTTTCTCCATTCGTCATGTTTAGTAGCTTGAAAACAAAAGTGCTTGACAAGGACTTGGATACAACAGTTTCTTCTTGTAGGATCACTCTCTGTAGCGCAGTGTATCCTAGTTGTGGAACCAATCTAGTAATTTACCAAGAATTGTAGGACCGAATCGTTTGGTTGGATTTGTAAAGGAATCTTGGAATTGGGCTTATCTGAAAATATAGATACCACTAATTACCAACTTCTTATGCATTGCAATGGACTTTCTGCAACTTGATGATTTCCTTAGTTCTTGATGTGAGAAATTTGACTTTCCAGCTGATCCAAAATATCGTCTGAAATCTTGTGTGTTCTCAGGCTATTGCATTTGTCAAAACCGGGCATCTCGACTGGGGTTGTTCCAACTGCTGCTGCAGCTGCTGCATCGCTGATGTCAGATGGTGGTGGCGCAACATTGTAGCCCATGGGTGAGGGGTCCGTACGCTTGCACCCTGTGTTACTTGGACTCGAGTCGAGCCCCATGGATGGGGTACTCTAGTCCAAAACATATGGGTATGGAAGGGCAAACTGAAAAGTTCAAGTAACATTAAATGGACCAATCATTAATGCTGTAGACTGATTTTTGTTCGGATTCAGTGGTTTGGGATTGAACTTCGAATCTTGGTTCTAGCTAAAATTGGGATTCAAAAAAAAAAAAAAAGGTAAAAAATGGGAATTTATGGATTTTTGGGCAGTATTAGAATGGGTATGACCCACTCGTATTGGTTCCACGATCAATTTGGGATTGCTTGGGCCTAGCCCCTGTGTTCCAGTCCCCCCTACTGGCCATTGCTAGGCTAGGATGAGCGGTGGAATTCTGTTCATCGAAGCCCATCTTCATGCTATGGCTGGACCAACATATTTTAAGGGTCAGATGGACGGAGCTTGGCGAGCCAGGTCCAGTAGATAGCCCTATTATTATGTTATATGGACCTGCGCTTGCGCTGTTCATAGCAAGTTACATAGTGTAGAAGAGTTGTGTGTCCAACTGAAGCCCATGCAGTGTAGTTAAATGTAGCCAACTTTTTCTGGATCACAAGGGAAAAGAATGAATCCTTTTTTTTTTTTTTTTTCTGTGTGACAAGACTGAATCACGAATGCATATTGTCTTAACAATAGCTGCTTAAGGCAAATATTTGGATAGACCTGATCCACCAACAAGGTAGTGGACCATTTGGCCACAAACATCGCCACGTTGCTTCTTTGCTGAAGATTATAAAGCAAAAGTGTGGGCGACATGACTTACTTATGTCCACATGTGGATCTATTTCTAAGTGATGGATCAGGTCTATGCAAGTTTTTGCAAATGAATAATGGTTGATTTGTGTACAGTTATTATGTTTTATTATTATTGTTCCCAGGCGCTATGTGACTTGGAACGCGAGACACCAAAGGGGGTTAGAACTTAGAAATGCGGGGCATTTTGGAAGAATGAATGAATAATGGGGGGTTAGTGGTTGAAACTTGAGAATGTTGTGTAAGTGAAGTCTTGCTGATTGAAAATGTTTTGCTGCTATGGTGATCAATAGGCCTGCGGGTTCACGCCAAATTTTGTCAAATAGGATTCTTAAAATCCACCAAGTAGCAATCACGGCTGCCGGAATTTAAGATTTCGAAACCTTTTTTTTTTTTTTTTTTATGCAAACTGGATACAGATGTCCCAATTTTTGCTTTGGCCCATGAAAAAATCCAAGTTAAATGGCGCAACAAGAGACCTTTAAGGCCCATTTAAGTTCCTGGTAAATGGGAGTTTGCCTCCTATTCATTCATTAATTATTAATTAACTTGAGCAAACTAATGAAATTTGGAAGAGTATCTCTTTAAGTATCATTACTAAGGTCTCATTTGATAATTCAGTTCAGCACTTAAACTTAATGGATTTGAATCTTAACATATTCAGACCGTTTGATAATAAAAAATTGAACATCTGAATTAATTAAGTGGCAATGAATTTTCTAAGCAAAACTTGCCCCAAAAATTAAGTGATAAGCTATTCACTTATCACTGAACATGATATGCAATTAAATGTATTAGATTTAACACTTAATAATTTAACAATTTAATAGATTCAGATTTCAGATTTCACTTTTTATATTTCAATTTTATTAAACGCATCAACTCAACCATCGGAGTTTGCTCGGGGCACTTGTCTCATTTCAATCTACCTTTGGTTGAGCCCATTTTTTTACGGATAACAAATGCTGCTCCATAGGCCATACGGGTTTCCAAATCTTTAAGGCTTGAACTCCACCTATTCTTCAAAGGATAGCGTAAAAAAAAAAAATTTTTTTTTGGGGGATGAGGGGGGGGGGGGGGGCGTGGGGTTAACTAGTTTTTGGAGGCTTTAAGAGGGGATGCAGATCGGACAAAGGATGTTAGCAGAGCTTTCAACTAAACAAAGGCAGGGAGAATGAGAAGGAGCTTCTGTCATTTAATTTGCAGTCAGTGCGACTTTCACCCAGAACACAGTCACACAACACGTATATCATCACTATAGAAATGTGTAGTATTTTAGTTGTGATTTTGATGGTTACAAGGCTGATAGAGGCCCTTGTGAAAGGGTTTAAAACTGGCTTATGGTAAAAATAACAATAACAATAATAATACTGCTGCAGGCTGTTGTAGACCTGCAGCAGCAGGAGTCGTAAAGTAGAAGTACTTTTCATTGGACCCAAAAGTCATGTGAAGCGGATCAGTTAAAGAGTTCAAATTGGAAGGCCCTCCTCCTCCTTGGCCGCTAAACTCTGAAGTCCGGGGTGCTCGCGCTGTTGCTACTTGCTTGGCCAAAACTTGTGGTTGAGGGAGTCGCTGATCTGCCCTCGTCCAAGGTGGTGCTGTGCCATTGGCTCGGAGGTTATTTTGCCCTGTGGGCCTCGAAAGGGAGAGAAGAAGGTTTCGTCTTAGTCAGCTACAGTTAATTGGGTTGCATGACTCAACTGCTGCCACGACCACACTGACCATATCCCTCCAATCATTCATTTTATCCACTCCCGGATAGCCCAAGCAATTTTCAGACAGCCATGCTGACTCGGGAGTTCAAGTGTCATCTCATCTCCGATGATGCAGACATTGGGACCTTGTTTATACTATGTTGCGGTCGAAATGCATGGGCGAGAAGGGGTGGGGGGAGGATTGAGAAGTATTACTGTACTGTTACCAATCACTGACTACCAGTGAACCACCCCAGAGGGAGGGCCAAGGCAAAGTCAATAGCCTCTCACGAAATCCTGAAACTGCTACTGCTGTTAGGCCCCCACTGTAACGCTGAAAGGTACTGGTAAGTTATCTAATTATGAAGCCAGACAAACAATTCAGCACAACGACAGTACATACATACGTACACAATTTGATACACAATTCTGGCCACATGCTTTTCTTTTCTTTTCTTTATTTATTTTTTGGTGAAATAAAAAGAAAACACGAATGGAAAGCAAATGTACACTTCGTTTTACGTGAAAGTAGGGTAGTACTAGGTTTTTTTGGTAATCAGCACAGAAGACGGTGGATTGCATGGCAATTGCGGGCTGTATGGGGTGGAATGAAACAGCATCTCCCCCTTTGCACGTTGTAACTCGTACTTCTTCTGAGATTCACGCTGTCCATTTTTTTTTTTTTACATTTTTTACGCCTTCAGTTCTGGCACACGCTCTCCAGTCCTTGTTAGCCAGGTTCTTCGAATTGATGAAGGTGAAAAGAGGCTACAGCTCGTATGTATCACGCCAACGGAATTATTCTTCACCATTAATGTGGTCAAAAAAAATTTTTTTTTATCTATGAAAAATTTTTTAAATGCATTCGATTCTTAAACGAATTGAATCTCCCGCTCTCGTCTGCGCATGGGAAGCTATCTAGCTATAATTTATTCGAACGAAATGTTCATTTACCATCACGTTCTGTTCTGTTTTAATTCTTGAGGAAAATGAGCTGTTAGATGCTAGAATTATCGAGCTTAATTTTCCCAACAATGTCATCATAATTAGCTGATCAACGCTCGAGTTCATTTTCGCTCATTGATATACTGATTGATTTAACTTTTTCCCTCCCTCCCTCCCAAAAAAAAAAAGAGTAGTACTTCAGATAAACAGTATACATGTGAGTTAATGGAACTTTAGTAGTCACGTTACAGCATGATCAAATTCATGGAGGAGGAGTTAATGGAACATCTCTTTACTTGTAAATTCGATCGGCCTTTATAGCACTTGTAAAAAAAAAAAAAGAAGAAAGGCAGTAGTGTCGTAGATACCGGTCACGAGAACTTGGGGCAAATGTTAATTGAGGTGGCAAAGCCGCAATTGACCTCTGCATGTATGATGATATACAAAGGCAGCACTCACCGAGTTTCTTGCAGCACATCATTTTACCGCACATATATCAAATCGTTATAATAATTTTTCTATAAAAAATTCAGAAAAATGCAATCCAAACATAACCTAAATACTACAGTCGCAATAAGAATACAAAATAAAAAGAGAATGTACCATTATGTTAATTATTATTAAGTTACAATACATTATATTAGTAGGCAGAGCAGAGGGAGGAATGAATTGAGTGATACCGAAGGAGGGAGTATAATTGTAAAATATTGAGTTCGAAATCTTTCACTTGTTATACTGAATAAAAAAAGATTATAACGACAACAAGTGCTATAAAAAAATAAATTTAGAATGGCCAAAAAGGAACCCAAAAAAAAAAAACAAGTGAATTTATCCATATGATATAACTGCTGGCGTAGTGACTGAGTGAAAGTTGGGGAGCAAAGCGGTGTCGTGGACAATAAAATATGGAGCGCTAAGTGTCCGAAAGTCCACACCACCTGTGACTGTGAGTCAGATACAGATAGAGAGTCTTAGAGATGAGAAGAAGAAACACTTGGAACAGAACAGAAGAGGATAGTCCTTTGATCCCTTTCCTTCCAGGCGGTCCTCCCCACAATACTAATTGATTCCAAAAGCCAAAGGTCTGTAGACCCCACATGCCAAACCCCACCCCCCCCCACCCCACACAAAAAGCACCCAGGGGCCGCCAGAATCACAGCCAACCACAAGATAATAAAACAACTTTTCCAACCCACTAACTCCTCGCCACGTGTCGCACCCACGGATTCTCTCCCCCTCCTTGTCCTTTAGGGAGGACCTTTACTTGGTTGGCAGTTGCCTTTGCCCTCAACCTCAACTCCAACTGTGTTGTTGTTAAGTGTCTTCAAACACCTTTCCCTCTTTTCATCGAGCAGTGCTGCTACCCGCACCCGCACCCCCACCCCGCCAACCCCCATCCCCAGCGGAACCCAGTCCCCATTTCATCTCGATGCCACTCCTGAGCTCCTGCTAAACCACAACCATACCTTCCCCTCAGAGTCTCAGACACAAACCAGAACCATTCTTTCTTTCTCTTTACCATTTTTTTCACTCCAAACAGCATAAAAAGCAATGCTGAAACAGGAGGACACCAACGGAGGCGGCGCCAACACCTGGGCCCGGGTGTGCGACACCTGCCGCTCAGCGGCCTGCACCGTCTACTGCCGGGCTGACTCCGCGTACCTCTGCACCGGCTGCGACGCTCGCATACACGCAGCCAACAAGGTGGCTTCGCGCCACGAGCGCGTGTGGGTGTGCGAGGCCTGCGAGCGTGCTCCTGCAGCGTTTTTGTGTAAGGCTGATGCAGCATCCCTCTGTGCAGCCTGCGACTCAGACATCCACTCCGCCAACCCTTTGGCCCGCCGTCACCACAGGGTCCCCATTCTGCCGATTCCGGGAACCCTTTATGGACCCCCGGCTACTGATCCCAGGGGATCCATGATCGGGCAAGATACAGAAGATGCTGATGATGGTTTCTTGACTCAAGATGTTGATGAAACCATCGATGAAAATGATGAAGACGAAGCAGCTTCTTGGCTGTTACTTAATCCCGTTAAAAACAACAGCCACCACCACCACCACCACCAAAACAACAGTAATAATAATATGCTATTTGGTGGCGAGGTTGTTGATGAGTATCTGGACCTAGTTGAGTATAGTTCATGCCAAGAAAATCAATACACTAGCCATCATCAGTATAGCAATCAGCAGCAACACTATGCTGTGCCTCAGAAGAGTTACGGAGGAGACAGCGTGGTCCCGGTTCGTTCCGGAGGAGCAAAAGATCAGCTGCAGCTTCAGCATCAGCATCACCAGAGTTTTCAGCTGGGATTGGAGTATGAAGCATCAAATACTGGGTATGCCTATCCAGTATCTTCCATGAGTCACAGCGTAAGTTTTATTCTTATGCATTATTATGCTGTTGTTAACTTAACAAGAGTTTTGCTCAAAGTGATGCGGCTTTACTTTGGTTTTCTGCAATAACTAATAACCGTTTCCTCTTTTTGACTTTGCTCCTGAGCCAACACATACTCATTTGTTTACTCGAAGACTTCAGCTTTAACCTTAGGGACCGGCTAAATTTTATATTCTTGCAATTTAACTGCTGTATAATTAATTGGGCAATTTTGTTCCAACATTTTAAACCTTCAATTCATATGATGAATTCTTCTTCTTCTTCTTCTTCTTCTTTTTTGTTTGGGTGGGAGAGAAGGGGGGAGTCGTTGGGGAAGAAGGAGGGAGTACTTGAAATTACCACTTAGACCCATATTTAAGGCTTGGCTATAAGAAATATGTGAGCAATAGATGAAACTTGTATACATATACATCCATTGGTTGAAAAAAAAAAATTCTTTCTCTGTTGTTTGCTCCGCAGTAGTCAGCCCTACTCTTAGAGTCTGGTATTCAAAACCCAAGCCAAAAGGGGGTAATTCAATTCTACCGTCGGGTGTCTTTTTAAATAAAAGCATGATGGGTAGAAAGGCAATTCAATGAAGGGATAAAATTCTATGCACAGAAAGAAGTACTTTTAAGATAAAAAGTAAAACAAGGACTATACGGTATGATCCTAGCCTAGATTTTTTTGGACACAGTATGATAGGATTTTCTTGCAAAATAAGCGAGCACAAAAACATTTTCCAGTTCAAATCTCTTCTTGCAAGCACAGGCTTTGTTTGAGAAGCTTAAGCCAGTACTTCTCTAAACTAGTCAGTGCTCCAAGAAGCTTGAACAACTTGGGATTATGGTCCAAAGGAATGTTATTGCAAATTTTTGTTCCCGACCCCTTTTGCCAGGATTAAGGTACTAAATTGACTTCCTCAAAAGCAAGACTCCTTTTTAAAGGAACATTTTGCTTCAGCAATATTTACAATTGAAAGGGACCAATGCCGTGTTTCTGACTACTATCTCAGGTTTCAATCTCATCCATGGATTGTGGTGTAGTCCCAGAGTCTACCATGAGCGATGTCTCCATCTCCCATCATAGACCACCCAAAGGAACCATCGACCTTTTCGCAAGCCCACCAATTCAAATGCCACAGCAACTTACGCCAATGGACAGGGAGGCCAAAGTTCTGAGGTACAGAGAGAAGAAGAAGACCCGAAAATTTGAGAAGACGATCAGGTACGCTTCAAGGAAGGCGTATGCAGAAACCAGACCCAGGATTAAAGGTCGATTTGCAAAAAGAACGGATGTTGAAGTTGAAGTCGATCAGATGCTCTCGACCGCACTAATGGTGGAAAGTGGTTATGGCATCGTGCCATCATTCTGAATCCAGAACAAGAGAGAACCAGAACCACTTCAGAAAGAGAATTGTATTTAAGATGTCTAAAGCCAAGGTTAATAGGGTGTCTTTCTTGTTATAACTGATCATAGAAATGTGCTTTGTAATTTTGATATTGCCTTCCTCAGTGCCTACAGCTTTTGAGTAATCCAGGATACATGCTCTTATTATTAGCACTATTGCTTTTTTGGTGCAAACACATTTCCCATGAGGTACATTAGTTACACTTAATTCTGAAACAAAAAGCCATACATAAATAAGGAAAACTAGAGTCAGACTAGAATAAGTTTAAGTGTCCATAGTATAAAGGCTTCACAATAACGACGGGAGCAAGTCTAGCCACAGGAAACAGATGAAGAACCTTTACAGCTAAAAACCTTGGGCTCTCAGAAAGCTTAAAAACTTTTTAGTCTGCTGCAATGTTGTAATGAAAGCAAGCACAATCAGCTTCCTATAGACCTCATTCCTTCCAAAATAACACCTTTATCATCAATTCCTGCAAGTTGGTCCCAGATTCTATATTAGTACTCACTGGCCCAAGGCAAAAGATAAGCAGAATATTAGGTCCACGTCTTAAAAATGAAAGGGAAAAGTAGGTGGAGATATTTCCTGGCTTGAAAATTAGAACCCAAAACCCCTACTTGCATTCTATGCTTAATCAGGCAACAGTAATTGAACTCTTACTCATAATATGGGTGGAATTAACATCCAAACAAGCCCCCTTCTCCCCGCCCATTTTTTTGTTTCCTGGACACTAGCAGGGGAGGCATCCAAAGTTGATTACCCACTGCTTGCCATGTCCCAGTTCCCAGTATTGCAGCGGTTAAAAAAAATGCAAATATCATCTCAAAGTTTTGCACTACCTATGTCTCATTCATCAGAGAGCATGGATGCTTAATTGATTGCAATATAAATCACAGACATTGATATAGACAAATAGGCAACTAAGTCAGTAGCCTTGAAATTGAGGTTCACCTTAAAATGCCGATGATGCTTTTAAAAAGAATATTGCACTTTACACTTTTGTGGCATTTAATTGTAAAACAAAGCAAACAGGCACTTTCTACCTCACATTCTACCTCAATAAAGCTATCAGAGAGGTGTGGGCTTGTTTTGGTAGCAAAATTTATATCCTTGTTACTTTCCAAGATTGTCAGCTAGAAAATGGCTCAGCAATTTATCTTTAAGATCCTGCTTGATAACTGTACCTATTTAATCAGTAATCGTTCCTCACTACTCTACTTGAAGCTATGAATGGTTTGAAGTAACGTTAAAAATTAGATCCTATTACAACATTCACTGGATAAGAGAATTTTCAGCACCCAAAAAAAACTGATCAAAGAAATAAGATAATGTGGTAATCTAACAGTGAGGATCTAAGTTTTGAGTGACAAACCCATATATTGAAATATTTGGCTTGTCACTTATACTACACTTTATTTGTAGAAAGAAATCTTAATTAAATCCTATCATTTCTCGAAATTATGAACCATTTTTTGTTGCTCCACTAATGCGAAACAGCAAGCACCTCTCCACCTGGTGAAAACCACCAGTAACACTTCATTCATAAATGGTAAAGCAAGGGATACCAAACAACAACAGCAAGAAATTCATGATAATTGAAAAGCTTGGCAAAGAGTCTGGGAATTAGTGAAGTAGATCCAAATTCAACTTGTCTTCAACAGATGAGGAACATAAAAACTGAAACAAATAAATACATCATCAGAGGACAATAGACTAGTCTAGGGTATTATCCACTGGTCAGGCAGAGTTAGTTTCCAAAAATCAAGATGTTGAATAACATGGGAACTTTATGCTTTTGTGATTGTTAAGATATAAAGAAAAGAAACAAAAGGAAGTTCTGGAAAAAGACAACTGAAGCAATTACGGTTGTAGAAAACTTTGTGATTCCAGACCTTGGTACCTGGCATGTACCACATATACCATCAGACATGCCTCTACCTTTTTGCTTTAAGACCATTGCAGATCCATCACAAATTATCTCTTTCTGCATTGCCATTCGCTGGACATCAATGCCTTTTTCTCTATCAGGTAAGCACATAAAGAACAGGTGAAGACACTCGAACACAAATTGTGAATTCAAATGCATACTTCAAATATGTTGGAATCTATAAAATTTTACACCTTCTACAATATGATGCTTATCCAACATGTCTACAAAGAGATATTTAGGTGTACAATCAGGCCTAGTAAGAACTATTGTATCTGATTGAATCATCTATTGAAGCCAAACCCCTAGTTCTGTCAACATTTTGAGTGCTTAGTGTTTCTATGATCATAAGCAGGTTTTTTTCATTTTCTATTGAATAGTTGTCCCCATGCTTCATTTGCAATTTCACCAAAGGGTCCGACAGATATTTCCAGAAATATTAGAGACGCTAAACTACTGAATTTGGGTGGTCATCACATTTGTATTGGCAGTAATTGTGCACATACTTTTTTAACTCTATCACGTACATTGTTGTAAATCACATGCATACTTACAACAGCGATAATTCCTTAATCCATAGATAAACCTAAAACAAAGTCAGAATTTATATACGAGCATTTAAAGAACTGCAAAAAGTTTAAGTTAAAAAATTATTAGAGCTGAAGTTAAAGGAAAAGGGAGATGACAAAAGGGTGTTAAGATGAAGCTAAAGCCAAAAAGGGTCAGACCAAAAAGCTTTAATGTGTAAGACAAGAAGTATAGACTCTAGTAAAGTATACCAGGACATAGAATCAAGTCCAGCCACAAAAATTGGAATTGCAAAAGACGCTTTAAACTGTAGGTGAATTAATGCTCTGCATGACTTCAGTTATAACAGTGTTCGAGTCCAGGCTCAACTTTATGCTTTCTTCAGTTTCTTTCCTGCCATGAAGCTTGATATAATTGAATGAAAAACTTATTCATTCATAGTTTGGTGGTCCCACTGCCTTCAATCAACAAGTAGTTGGCAATTATTCTCTTCCACTGCAGTAGTTGTCTGCACTTGTGTAGCAGACAAAGGACATCATATACAGAAGGAAAACAATTATCAATTCTCACATATATTACAATTAGGGATTAGGATTTGATTCCCAAAAACTAACACCGTGTTTTAGACAAAGTCATATTTGTAATTTCAACTGATTGAGAAGAGAAGGAGGCGAAAACTAAAAAAAAAAGTAATTGTAGGAGCACGAGCCGTACATCTTTAACTAGTGCATTGCAATTTCAATGATGTAATCATTGCTTAAACAAAAAATTTTAGCATATCTTGTTGAACCTTCAAGAAAGCTATTGAACTATTTCTTCAAATTTTCCAAATGCCACCAGAATTTATCATTTCATTCATATCATCAGCAGAAAAAACACTTTGACAATCAACACCTGCTGGACATTATCTGAAATATTCTCACTTACTACAGTCTCTATCCCTATCATTGAGGCTTAAGCAAACAAAGGAATAAAACATGTCCTAGAAAACTTTTTTACAAAAAAAAAAAAAAAAAAGTATCTTAAGGAAATGGATGTTTCCTATGTCTCATTCATCAATCTCATGCATTTGCTTCGAAGATGCAGTTCATTATTACCTTGACAGCAATGTGGACGTATCTAAATAAATATTAGCCTCACCCTTGGTCTGCCATTCATTGGATTTGATGATTACAGAAAGCATATTGCAACTTGATTCTTCTGGGCATAGACTCAAAGAAAAAGTGAAAAGGTGAGTCCTCCCCCAACAAAGAATATATATCTGTTACAGAGGTGAAGGAGACTTCGTCTCTCTAAGCTTAATAAACAGAATATGCCTTAATGTCGATTGCGAAAGATTTAGTCTTTTCGCTCTGAGTCATCCTGATTCTTGGAAATATTCACTCTAGTGGTCTTCCTGAACATAGGTACTTTTTTCTTTATGTAGCAACCACCAATGCAAAGTTTCTCAGTGCCATGTCATCAATCCTATCCTAACCAAGGGAAATTTCCAGAATCAGCAAAAAAAGATAGTTTGAGATATTTGCTACTCAAATAATAGATATGTCACTGAAATATATAAGAATTAACCAAACTTAAAAGATCCAGCTGATAATTATCAACCATCAAACAAGATAAAGGACTTTCAAGAATGGTCAACGTCAAAGGACTAGGAAGTATCATCTTAGACTACTTGATTTCCAAAAGAAACGCAAAGCTTCAATTCAGGACCATTTTGATTAAGCAAACTAAAGGCACATTACACTTTTCACTTTTTAGGTGCACCGTCAAAAAGAAAAGGTAAAAAGAGCAACTAATACCCCAGCAAGGAATAAATGGATGTCATGCAGCTAGAAGATAGGCTTTAAATCTGGACACCTTGTATGCACTGTAACTATCCTAAGAGAGGCTCAGCTTCTGGACTTGAGGTCTTTCCTGATACTTGTGCGCTTTATGTATCTATTTCTGTTCTACCATTTGCTGAACAATAGCATCCTTCTCCAACTTGTAAAGCAAACTCTGCGTTTAATGCAGTGTCAACACTGTGGAAAGGATTGATATATATCAATTAAAAGCCCCCCAAAAAAAGGGAAAAAAAAAACTAAAAAAGGATGTTCAGAAAACCAAATGGTAGGTAAGAAGTTGCAAAATTGGTTACCAGTGAATTAGGACTTAATATTCATATTTTAGGAGTATTATAAACTCTAAAACTTATTTCAACCATGTATCCAAAGGTTAAAGGCTCCATGGTCAAATATATTGGTTACTCGAGAGCAAGATTTAAATCAATCTCATCAGCGGCTAGATTTTTAGGAAGTAGGACCAAATCAATCTCCTCTTTCACAGAGAGAGAGAGAGAGAGAGAGAGAGAGAGAGCAAGAAGAAAAGTCAAGGTTGTGAGATAGATCTCCACTTAAATAAAGAACTATTCCATTTCCACATAATCCATTCTCTTTGCATTTCTCATTTTTTTCATTTTATTTTGGGGGACGGACATGGACAAGGAAAAACTTAGCTTCTCTACAAAAAGAAAGGAAGCGGTAAAGGATGAGTGGATGACAAAACCTTGTATGAACCAGTTCTTTACAAGAGTAAACATGACTTAAACATTAATACCAAGACAAGGCATCATGAAAACGATGATCTGGTGTATGAAAGTGCATCTTGCATTTAAAAATGATGTCAAGCATCTAAATCCTATCCTCCCACACCAGTATTTCCTTGTGGACGTCAATTCCTAAACAAAAAGCAATCAGGAGCAGGTCCAGCCAAAGAACAAATGGCACCACCAGCTGGACAACAACTCTGTGGCTCTCGAGCTTGATACCTATTATGTGCTGCATATGACATACCAAATTGGCTTGGCACTTCCACTAGTGCTCTTCTATATCCAGAGAGGCTTTAAGGATCACAATCCATTCTCCCATTCGCTGAAGCATGCTTCCTTTACATATCATATGCACTAAAAAAAAGATTCTTGAAAGTGCAGGAAGTCCTATTCCAGTGCCAGAAAGACCAATAAGTAATAAAGAGCATACTCCTTTAAATATCCTTTATCTAGATATGGGGCAGAGTTGTAGAATAAGCAAGAAGCTTTAGAAATTCACCATATTTAACTCCTGATATTCGTAGTCAGCAATCAGACACCAACAAAGCATGCAACTCTAGCATTGCTTTCAGGTGCAAATCACGCATCTTCAGTTCTTATATAGAGTTAAGCATCATACTTGACTCCCATCACCCAAGTGCTTAGAATTGGAAGCTTTAGTTTATTCATTCCAGATCCAGAATCACTTATTGGGTAAAGAAAAGCTAGAATTGCTGATGGACATAAGTACAAAAGTGTTATCTTGGGGCATCAAAGCCACACCTTTTTAATCAGGGAATAATTGAGGAGAAAAAGAAATAGAAGACAGTGACATATTTATGGAAGAGAAATAGAGAAAGGAGATTCGGATTGTGCAGATGTAAAGATTCTACTGCATGATTGTAAGTTCATAACTGCAAGTACAATAACCAATTCTAGATGAATTGAAGTTTTCACTTTGACACGAAATTGGTAATCCAAGCCTTAGTGTGCAGTTTCGACAACCACTTTTTACCAGCCAGATTTCCATAGTGATTACTATTGTATTCCTGAATTACTACCAAATTGAACTAATGATACCAGGTATTTTGAGCTAAACAGCTGCAATACAGAAATCAGGATCAACCACACAAATTATGATTGCATTTGAGTATACATGAGCAAAACACTGAATCTGAAGTTTTAGATACTCCCTGTGTGCCAATCCTTTCCTTCCCCAGGTGTCAAATTCATGAACCCCAGTTGTTGGCAAAACCTATCCACAAAGAAGCCAAACTTACAAGGCCTCTGCAAACCAGGTGGTTCAACCAGCCAGGAAGTCAGGTTTAGCGATGGACTAACATGATTATCTGTTAGCAATAACATCTGGTTTTGAGAGGAACGTGGGAAGAGGACCCTACCAATCATATTTAGGCCCTCCTTTTTTAGAACAATCTGTCTTTTCTACGTGTTTAATAGACTAGCCAATCTACTTGTAGGTTTTCATTTCAATAATTTACCACCAACAAAAGACCCAAGTAAAGAAACAACAGCGCTAAATTAATTTTTGGACTAAAATCTTGAGATCCCTTGACAGCTAGCATTCATAATTGGCAATTTCATGTGCATTCAGATCTAATCATAGATAATGCCATGCAACACATAACTACTAACTACTAATAATATAATAACATAAAAATTATATTCATCACTTGGTTCCAGAATTTGCATATAAATATAAATGGGCCTGAAATGAATGTCCAGAAACATGCATCCATCAGATTGCAGAAGCCCCCATGAACACTCCCATTTTCATTTCCAATCTTGTACATGTGATATAAGTAAAATACCCGAAAATCCTTTCTTTTTTGTTTTTGACAAGAACTTGTATTTTTCTGCACCTCATCTAGTCCTAGTCCTCCTCCTAGTCCTAACCTATTATTTACAGCAGAGTTCCGTCCACTTTATCCCAATTAAAAAAAATCGTCAAGTTCATTTGCAATTTACAACACTATTGGGAAATAAAAACAAAATTAGGACTTGAGGCTGCAATCAGAATTTAGTGAGGTGCATGTGAATTTGTGGTTATGCTGGACAAGAAGACTGACCAGCTGAGAAGTTAGTAAAGTTTAGCAGAGATGCTACCACTCACCGGCGGAAAGACGGCGGGAAATTTTTCCCGTTATCCGGGAAATTGCGTGACCAGCCAGCGCCGGTTGTCAACATTAATATGTTGTATTGGATAATCAGCGCGCAATATACGGAGATATGCTTCTCAGCCCAGCTAGCTGTAGAATTTTTGGTGGATTTAGCTTGGGTTTGGTCTTTAATGGGCCGAGAAACTCAAAACAAGAAGTGTTGAATAGCCTAGCAGGCAAGCTGAGTACCAATTTCATGAAAAGCCCAGCACAAAAGTGCCATCTCACAAAAAAAAAAAAAAAAAACCTTGGAAATAAAACAACATTGGACCCAAAAGCTCAAAATGAAAAGTGATAGAAAGCCTTGCACATATGATACATCTCTAATAAAATTCAATTCGGCAGTTTCTGTCTGTCATGAATACCGGGTCTTCTTAAAAATGGCAAAAGCTTAAGTAGATCCGATTTTGTAGAACTAGTGATTCAAATTTTGCCACATCTTCAATACTTGAATTGGTGTGACGGTCTGATAGAATTTGGGTGACGAATCTACCCAAGCGTTTACCATTGAAAATTGGTATGTAAATTGTAAAATGTAGGACTGTTTTTATCCACAAAAAAAAAACAAATGGTGGCTTGCTAAAACCGTTCCTGGGGGACATTAACAACATTTTCTCAGCATCCCTCAGTTGATGAGAATCAAATGTAATTCTTTGGCAGATTCGATTCAATTCAACTAGCAGCATGCTTTCCCTATAAATTCCGTTGTGCCTGTCTCGTTCCACACAGTCTGAAGAAACCTTCCTTCTCCAGAGTCTAAAGTCTCAGTCTTCCAAGTTCCACCACCGGAATTTTTAATTCCATGCAAAAGACCCACCACACCAATTCGCTTTAACATTCATCATTTCCATCCTTTTAATTTTCGGTTTTGGTTCTCTTGTACCACCAATTACCAAAGCCAACGTTGTTTACATGGTTTTCCAGTGCTTATTGTGAATCTGTGATACCCGACTTTTAGGATAATGTTTTTGTTTAGTCTCAAAGAGAATATTACAGTTTCTTTATTTTATTTTTGTTTTAAAACATTGTTTTATTTTAAAGACTAGAAACCCTACTTGTACTTTAAAACCCTAGTTTACTTGTGACTAACAGGTTGTGTTTAAATCCCTCATATTTGACTCAAAACCCTAATTTTATTCTATGAAATTGTAAAATTTATCACATTTTTCTTAAAATTCCCTTTTATTTGAAATACATTACCTTATTATAGCTATACTACTTATTTACATCCTCAAGGGTTAGAATAAAGAATAGAATTAAGAGTTTTACCCTTAGTTATATAGTTCGGGTAAATTAGAGTTTTCACGTATTTTGGTAATGTGATTAAGTGTGGAGATTTGTGTACTAAATTTAGTAATTAAGAGTGAGTTTTAGATGAGAAATAATATGAGATTAGAAGTGAGAATAATAAGTTAGTGAATTATAAGTAAAAATCATAGTACGTGCGAGTTAAGGAAAAATGGGTAGAACCGACGTGCACCGTTTGTTACCGAGTGAGTGCACCAGGTGAACACCACTTTATTACCTTAATACCCTTGCTATTAATTGAGTCAAATCAGCCCCAAAATATCTGATAAAGCAGCCGAAAAGTTGGACAAAAAACAAGAGAGAGAAAAGAAAATTTTGACCACCAATCAAATTGTGACATGTGTTAAACTTAGACCAAGCCTTTTTCTTGCTTTCTTATCTTTCCTTGGACTGCATTTCTTCTTCATTTCTGCACATTTGGCCGTGAGAGTGAGGAGAGAAAAGGAGAGAAAGAAACACTTCATTCCATCTTGATTTCTTACTCAATCTTGCAAACTAACCGATAGATTCACCAAATAATCCATGGAAGTTGCTTAGGAAGGTGGATTGCCATCTTGGAGTGGAGAGTTCTGGTGGTTCAAGTTTCCTAAAGGCTGTTGTGCTTCTCCAATCCTAGGTAAGGAAGGTATTAGTTCATGGTTGTACTACTTAATGGTTTACAAGTGAAAGTTATGGTTTGTTGGGTAGATCTCATGATTTAGTAGTAGATTTGGTCAATTCCAGCTTTGTAGTGTAAAATTTCAACTTTGGGTTTGAATGATTTTCTTCTTATACTTGCTGTATGGATGGTATATGATGTATATAAGCTTGTATATGAGGTTGTAGTGCTGGTTTTAAGTTTAAAATGAGAGTTATACCTTGAATGGAGCAAATTTCCAGAATATCGGTTTCTTATGGTTCAATTCTGCCCGTTTCTGTTTGAGTATGTTAGAGACCGAACCAACTTTAGCCCAAAACATGAAAGTTGTAGAGAATGATATTTTATGATTTTCTACAAAATTTCAGCCCAATCCGACCTCCGTATCCTATGAAAAGACCAAAATACCCCTGCTGCCCTGTTTCTGTCCAAAACTGATAATCAGCTTCTGTAATTGGTTAGTTTGACTGGGAATACTACTGATTTGGTTGTCAATGTCTTCTTAATAATTATATCCTTGTATCTTAGCTTTCAAATGACTTTGGAATTACCTGAATCGGAGTTGTGTGTGCTGAGATATGATTGAATGAATCAGGACTGCTAGTTGAATTTCACAGTGAGTTTCGAACTGGAAAATCTGGGGTTGTTTTGATAACTTTGACCTAGTTAGGATGAGAACTGGACTAAGTAATCTTCATCAAAGTTATAGCCCTCTGTCTTAGCTTCGAAACGGTATAAATTTCACCCCAATCTGATAAGCGTAGCTCTGGTTGTGTCCGTTACGCAAAACAACGTCAAATCTGCCTTTTATTTCCTAACTTAAACTTCATTTCCGCACATGTTCTTAGCTTGATTTTGTACTTGTATGACCTTGAGCCTATTGGACGGCTAATGAAATGAAATTATGTTTTGTGTAACTTTGGGTTTGATTGAAGAAAAGAATGAAGCCATAAATGGCTGGAAAATAGGTAAATACAAAGGGCGTGCTGCCCAAATTTACGCTCGAGAACTAGGTAGATATGCTTGCAACTTGAGTAAGGTTTGAGAGTGAATACCACTTGAACCATCTTGGATATTTGCACATTCTTTTATCGAGGTATATAAGTTAGAACTTGGCCGACCTTGTACCCTTGAAAAAATGAAATTTATGACTAATAGATATACTTTTCTCCATTTCGTCGACCCAAATGGTATTTCAAAGTATAATTGTTTTCAAGTTTCAAAATCTTAAGAGCGAGCATGAATTTCTTAGAATTTGATAAGTATCTTGAATACTACTCAAACGAGTTGCATTTACTTGATTTTCTTGAAGCGAAACTCCTATGTTTCGAAATCTAGAAAATTTTACATTCGTAAATGATATTTTATCCCAGATTTGGACTCCAACCAAGGAGTTGGACCTGAACGTGTTTTTGAGAGGCACTAGACTTTTGGTGAGTGCTTCCAAATATCTGTTTGAACTTGACACTTGTTTTAATACTTGATCCATGAAAATACATGATACGAAATTTATTGATCGGGTAAGGGTGTACTTTATCGCACTTGCCCTAATATGATATCTACTTGTTTATTGTTGCAATTAACTTGATATACTTGTACTTGATTTGTAAGTGTGGAGCGGCAGCATGTATCACACTCTATCCGAGTGGGAGGTGCCTCTCATTCTCGTCTCCATACTTTTATTTTAATTCAGTCGATTGGAGTGTTACCTCGTCGATTTTTTTGGGACCCCAAACCCCATTGGCTAGTTAATCGAGTCGAATCGGCAAGGGCTTGGTCGATTGGGTAACGAACCATGGGTCTTTCATTTTTTCGAATGGAGTGATATCTTCTCGATTAATCGGTATACTCGAGTATTACCACCAATATTTATTGAGGATTTTGGACCCAATAGGGGGTGTGAATGGTGGACGGAGAGTAGTATAAGTGGTGCTCTACTGGATTGGTTACTTACTTGAAGGTTGACGGAGTGTCAACTAATATTTGATCAAGCTCTGGTGATGCAATAGGAATTTGGCTCCTGAGAGCCATCCGTATCCTTATATTTTGGAGCGATTATTGTTTATTGGATTATTGTTTCTTTTGAAAAACTTTTACACTCGCTCACTTTGAGATTTGCTACTTGAAGTATTATTACTCACTTTTATGAACTATTCATACTCATTACTTTACTACGTGATACTTGCACTTTTAAATAAGGGTTAACTTGCTATTTGGAACCTTATTGGGCTTTTAGCTCATTCCACGCCATTTATTTTCCTTACAGGGGTACGAGCGAGGCGTGAGACGTGTACAGACTAGCGTAGTCTAGTTGTTTTGAATTTTGTAATTGTACTTGCACTAGCCACTCGATTAGGGTTGAATGTACGGAGAACTTAACTTTTTTGATGTATTTGGGACTGTATGGATGATTGGGATAGAAATGAATGTATTTGTATGTTCCAAACTTGGGAACCGTTATTTCGTTTATTATTGAGGTTGCACCTTATTTTAATTGATGCGAGTGAGTGAGTCCTGGCGAGAGTTGGGCAGGCGGTCCGCCGAACGTTTTTGTTCGCTTTAGGGTGAGGTGGGGCTGTCACACTTATTATCCAAGAACATGAATTGATAATATGAACTCGAAGGCGACTATACGAAATAGTTGTGTGTGTGTGTATGGGGTGGAAGAGGAGGAGGAGGAGGGGATTCATGAGTGTATCTACATTCGCATCTCGGTGAGTCAGTTTCATTAAAAAGTATAACAAGACCAACCTGTTAATAAATGTTAAAATCGTAAAAAGTGAATAAAGAAATTGGATCTGTTTTAATTGGTTTCATCCTAATCCACGAATCCCTTCTCTGCTTCTCTTTCCTTGTATTCCTCAACAAAGGTAACAAAAGTAAAGCAATTTATGTCTAAGAATGGTAGAAAGTTAGTACCCTCGAAAATCTCTCTTACCAAATTTTAACCTGTATATCCGAGTCTTTTACTAAATTTTTTATGGTAATCCTGCAGATTTTA